TTTTAGATCATTCAGCACCCTAAACTACCCAAAGACTGCCATCTGTGGTCATTATAAACCAACGTGTGTGGTCTAATAGATGCTTCTAAATAAGTATTGGAGCAGAGCATTGGCAAAAGCAATAGGAGACCAGGCCCTGGACAGCACACCATTTCTTGGACCAAAACACAAGGACCTGTCCTGTGAAAAAGACAATGCCTCATCTGTTTTGAGCTGACCAGAACCATAGAAGAATAGGCAGGCCAAATGCACAGGTGGTAAAGGAGGAACTGGAAAAGTTAGTAACCAACCCTACATACAAGACCATAAATACCCAAACAGGTGATGCTGAAGCATCTGGCATAGAAGACTTCCTCCTGACACTACAGAACCCAACAACAAGGTACACAGCAATGAAGGAAATTAAAACAATAGACCCAGTGCCAAGGCACTCAGCCCTGACACACCTGAAAGCTAAGCTCCCAAGGATCCCTGGCACAGAAAACATTCCTGATATTCAGGAACTGCCCAATGCCAGAGCTGTCCTGGCCCTGGGTCAGTCACAGTGTCAGATATTCTCATGGTTCCATTTGTACCTTGTCTTTCTAGGCTCTGAAGAGTCATCACTGCATCTGGGAGCAGAAGTCTCGAAGAGACAAAGGTTTCTGTAATGGACGAACAGGGGTAGCAACACATAACCACCAAGTTTCCGCTCAATGTATGTGGCAGTCAGAAAAAAACTGTCCCTGTACTTCAAGGAAACAAATAGGATGTACACACACCCCAATGGACATTTACCCAGAAACTTCTGAGCTTGTGCGCTGAAGTGCACACATCACCCAGTGTAGGGATCAGTTCAGGCAATGCTCAAAGAAGCCTGTAATAATGGTGGCCACCATAATACATAACAAAATAAGTCCATTCACCACTAAATATAAAGTCTCACTCACAGTACTATGAGGCCACCTGTATTTGTTCTCACTCACTAACAGCTTCCAAAGAGATAGGACACAAAAGCATTGTTCACCATGCATTCATAATGTAGTATTTTCATTAAGAATAATGGTAACCAAAGCTAAATAAAGAATAGGTTGTGCTGACCACAGAACAAAGGCTGTGCATGTCCATTTGGTACAACTTTTAAGCAACGTTTTTAAAGTGTCACATATTCCATCACTCTACTCGAAAAAGGCAAAGCACTTCACTTAAAACATGAGCTGTTGACTTGGCTTGAGAGTAATGTGTTTGACTTTATCTATAGTCTCTCAAAAGTCCATATGCTATACATGCAATGAATATTAAATCTCTCTCGTGGCCAGCACAGAGCATTTGATGAGTCTCCGGACATTTACAAGACTGTCGTTTTTTTGAGAAGCTGGCGTAGTATAGAATATATTTACAAATGCAGCCCACTTTGTTTGCAACTATAGTTCAAAACCAGCTGAGCAGCCCTGATACGAGTCTCATAAATCAGAACAATTCTAGCAGAACTTTCCTTTCAATTGTAAGATCACTCACGACATCCAGATTTTTACTTCTCCTGACAAAACACCCCCAGATATTGCTGACATCATCAGACTTGGTCAAGAGAAAATGCCAGCTGCTTAAGAGCTCTCATGTCACTCACAATGTTTAATGAAAGGCTTTTTCTTCATGCCTGAGGCTGTAAGAGAATACAGGATTTATATAGCTATGGGAGTACTAGGAGCATAAGATGTGATATACGAGCAATACTTAAACTAACCTCTGTTCCGACCATAAAATTATCAATCTGACTAAACAGCAAGACCACAATGGATCACTACACAATATCCAGGTAATTGCCAAGACTGCTTTTAAAAGAGGAAGCACAGAAAACCCCACTTAAAAGTAAGTCTTCCACCAGATATATCTCTTAATTAGTGAAGTATTTCATTTTAAATACCTAGCCCACTGCCTTTCAAACCGACACACAAGATCCATCCCTTCCCATACAAATGCCAGACCATTCTATACCAATGTCTCGGACACCCCTCAATGGCCAAATCCTCCTGTACCCTTCCACAACATGTCCCCAGTTGCCAAAGTTTGCAAGCAGCTCTAGTGTGCAACAACACCTGAGCTGCCAAACCCTCAACCTCTTTTGCCATCTGCCCCCAGTCCAATCTCATCCCTAGCCCTTAGCGCCATCTACCAACCCCTCAACACCTGAGAAGCCCTCAACTTCACAAATCAAAATGAGTTGCTAATACCCTCTTATACTCACACATATAGTCTCCTTCCCCTTGACAATATTAAGAAAGGTGTTCCTCACCTGTGACCCAGCTGGCAAGGGGGTTACAAGAATATCCTGATACTAGTATGTTCATTCTGGTTCACCAAAGAATCTTGTGTGAGGTCTTAAATGAAAGCCAGGCTCACAATGGCACATTTGCATGCAGAGTCAGAGAGCTATGAAGTCAACAGGAAGAGCACACAATGAAGGAAGAGAATCTTATCTTGCAATAGGCTTGAAACATTGGCTGGATTATATAAATGGGGAACAAAGACATCCCACCATTCTGCACCTAGGAAGAAAACGGACAGCATGTTTACATTCATGAAAACAGAATCTCAACCAACCTGGGTTGAAAACACTGCAAAGGACTCGGGGGGTGAGGGGGTGGTAAGATAAACGTCTTTAGACAGAAGGTTAGCCTGTTAAATTAAGTTTAGCCTCTAGAAAGCATGTTATGATTTTGTTTTATATCTAGCCTGTTTCAGTTATCCTTACTCACTGTCTCTTGAATCTTTGACAATCAACTTATTGTGGTTTTCACTGTAAATATACCTCAGTGCTGTGTTATTAAGCTAGGTGATGATCCTGAGTTGAATCATACAAGCTGGAGTGTACACTATTCCCTTGGGGACAGCAGATGTGGTATTTCTCTGAGTGTTCAGTGGATAAGGGACTAGACACTACAGGGGATGCTTTGAAGGGGGTCAGGACTGGGATGCACCTATTGTTAACCTGCAAGACAAAGTAAGGGCTTGCAGACTGCTTGAGTGGCTAACAGACTGGTAGTGTAAGGGAACTAACACCCAGTTAAACACAAGCAAGCCTCTGAGGGGCTGCAGGGGGTAACAAGGGGACTCTCAGTCCTGGGTATCCCAAGAACCATGGCATCACCCCATTGTAGTTTTTTTTTTAAACTTATTCCACTTTAATAGAAAAGGAGCCAGGAAAGATCCTAGGACTACAGGTTGGAGAGTCTCTTCATAGTACTGGGGAAACTGTTGTACTAGTCTATCTTTAATTAGATTTCCCCAACAGTCAGGTAAGTATAAACTTGATAAAATCAAACCTGCACAGCTCCTGTCAGAGAAAATTGTGCTTCTCTAACCTGCTACAACTGTGGGTTCTTTATTTTTTAAATTGGGGCAATAGACAAAGGTGACCCAGGGGATCCAATTTACTTGAAGTTTCTTAAAAAAAAAAACACAAGCGAAAAAGGAGCAAAGTCTTATTATATAACAATGAAAAATTAATAAATAGGCCAGCATTTCCCAAAAGACAGGGGCATGCCCCCCCCCCCAGGGAATATGAAGGATTGGCCAGGGGGCACAGGTAGATCCCTCAATTTTTCTCTAGGGCATGCTGGGCTGGCCTCCACCCAAGCACCCTGCACACGGCCCGTTCCCTCCACCCCTTTTCAGATACTAGCTACTGTAGCTAGTTGTTCTATAGCACAAGTGGTAGAAGTCTGCTGCAGAGCTGAACATTCATGGCTCATACCTTGCTGAGGATCATGGTAGGGATGATACAGTTGCACAATTGTATTTGTTTACCTTTTTCCTTTCTGTAAAATGTGGATAATAAAATCACCCAATATCCCAATGGTGTTGTGCAGATAAACTCATTAACGTTTATAAAGCACATCACCGAGGAACTTAATAATTTTACACGCAGCACAGACTACACAATGAACAAGGAAGATAAAAAGAAATTTTGAATAATAATCCATTCACAGAATGAGGCAGGGATCCTGTGGAAAGGTAGTACTCTGATCAAGTAATTCAAGACTCTGTAATAATGCACTCACACAAGCGAACTAAATTAAGGTTGCACCAACAACTTTAATTCTGGCATTTCATAACTTCTGAGTGCTTGCCTTTGCCACCTGAATACTCTTTTAATGTAGTGTTTGTTTTTATTTACTATATTTTAGCAATTTAAGGCTTAAGTCAAGAGCAAGCTAGTGAAGATTACTGAACACATTATGTTTTGGCTATTAAAAACCAGTGGGATTATGAGAAGTTCCAGAAGGCTTTGAACACAGTGGGAGATTGGACAGCACAATGGCAGATGAAAGTCCATTTAGATAAGCATAAGTTAACTAATGCTGACAAATACGTTCAGTTTTGCATACACAATATTGTGTCCAAGATAGAGTATAATTTTTGGTCAGATAATTTTTTTGATTCAGGAACTTCTATTACTGCCAACTTTGCCCTTCTCCAGAAATTTCCACAACTCATGACATGGAAAAGTTACTGGAGGAAACAGGCTGTTTGCAACCACCACTGACTGCCCTGGAGAGCAAAACTGAAGTCCCTGTATGTCCATTTTGGTTATATGTTATTTTGTTAAACCTAATTTTACGGGTTACTGAGAACAAACATATCTAATCTAACATTTAAAGGTAATTCTTTTTCTCTAAAATAACTAGTACATATATACCTTTTTTTCTACTTTTCACGTTTAGCCATTAAAAGCAACCAATAGTTACTTGAAAATATGGCATGCTCTAAAGTTTACCCAAAATTATTACAGACTATGACCCAGATGGGACAATGAACTCAATGGGACCATGCACGTGTGTAAGCGTTTGCAGTGTTGGGACCTTTCTTCCCCATGGCAAACTACTTTGAATAGTCTGTTTACAACTCAAAAGACTGGCGTAAACCCTCACACTGACAGGTTTATAACACTTAAAAAAACATTCAAGTAAAAATACTTTGATGCTGAACTCTATAAGAGGGATATACATCAGGCAAAATACCTGTTTTGGCAGTGACAAGCTGTAGAACCAATGGTCGCCTTGTTACAATTCCAGATCCTCGTGGAAGGAAATCCCTACAAGAAAAATCCGAATGTAAATAAGGGGAGCATGATCACAACTGAGAAAGTCGGACAATGGAATTTTTACCAATATGGATCATTCCTTTAACAAAAACAAAAAAAAGATGCTACACCATTGTTACATTCACAGTGGGCACACAGAGAAGTTAGATTAAAAAATAAAATACTCTTTCTGGAATGTTGCAACATAAAGTCAATGTTATTTCTTAGAATCAAGAACCTCAACACACAAGAGCCAAAACCAGACACACACAGAGCAGACAGCTTCCTATGGCAGAGCAGCACAACTCACCCCACCTTGCTCTAGGCTGGCTCTTTGCAGACTGACTGCTTCATGCCCAGATCACACACTTCTCTACAGAACCCCCTAGCCTGCAAGCAGGACCAGGAAGCCCCTTAAAAATCTGAAAGGGATAGCTTGTAATTTGAACACAGTTTTCAGCAAACCAAAACCTTCACTTAAAAAAAAAATTTAGTACATAAGGGAGAAACTCTTGTTAAACATTTAAACTTGGTAGACTTAAATTTCATCCAGCTAATCTAATGGAACCCAGGATTTAAAATGCAGGGCCAAAGGAACAGTTCACAAATTAAGGAATCTTTTAGGGTTTTTTGGATTTTTTTGGCTACTCACTCTAGTTGAAGTGAATCGGACTGATAGCCAAGAGAACTCAGATATAATTCTCATCTTCAAAAGAATTAAATTGCGTCTATTTTTCTTCTAACACCTCCACACCCAATAATGAGAATTTTGTCATTCGTCGGGAGGGAGTTGAAAGGCTTCCTTGTAGGAATTTTTTCAGGGTCAGAGACCCCTCATGTGTCTATGCACTCAATGTAGTGTGTTCTCCCACAGTCTGGCCTTTCCCCCATCCCTTCCCCCCCTTATGCCATGAACCCCTTATACCATAGTTAGTTAATGCCGGTAAAGGACTTAGAACTGCAATTCTTTCCACCTTGTTGGCAATCTCCATAGTTCCTCACCTCGCTCATGCTGAGCCACCACAGCAATTTCTTACAGTTCAAGGTGCAGAACTAAGGAAAGGGGGATTTGCCTTATTTTAAGAGAAGCAGAATCACATCCGCTTACCTAGCTTTGCTCTCCTGGGTCTTCTAAGAGTCATGCAGAAAACTCCCCCCCTTTCTCAAGATATTTTAAACTCAGACACCTACAGGCTGACTCATGGGCTCTGCCCCACTGAAGACACTCTACACTCAGAGGACCCAGAACACTCTATAATTTCCTTTCAAGAGTGGGAAGCAAGAGCTCCTCTAGATCTCGAATTCCATTTTTAAATGTTTGTGATTGACTATACATAAAAAAAGAAGATTATTCCAGAGCAAGTAACGGACAGGTAAACCCCATCACTCACATCCCCAAGCCCTCGGGGGGGCTCTGTGAGAGTGGCTTCAGAGAAGTAGAATCCCAAAGTAAGTAGGTTATCTTCTTTCTAAAAAGACCATCTGTGAAGGACTCTCAGTCCTGGAGAGTGACTAGCTCAACGGATGTCCCACAGTGAAGAGTATAATGATAAACACTGACTGGCACAAGGTCAGCACTGCATGTACCAAAAAGTTTGTATTTATTTGTGGTTTTTGAAGGAGGAAGTAAAATACCTCCCCACAAAAGGGCTGGCAACCACCTGGGTGCCCCTGGTGGATAGGAAAACCTCTGTTGTGTTCTACTCCTGTTTTCCCCTTCACCAGGACTCCTTCAACAAACTCCAGTCTCTCTTTCAATCACAGCTCTTCTTAGAGGGTTGGGTTTTTCATTAAATTAACAACGTTCTCAAATAAACATGAACAATCTTCCACCCAGGTTTAAGCTGTGCTTAGCCCTTGGTTCCTAAGGAACTGTCCCATCCCGAGGGACCATGACTGAAGACCCTCTTTCCCTGCAACTTCACGCTACAGTTCCCTCACTGCAGCTTCCTGCTGCCTTTTACCCTAGGATCATCTGATCCAACCCAGGTGTGGTATGTCCTGTAATCAGGCCGTACCCCAGGCCCTCCAACCCATGGGCAAGCCAAAATCATGAGGCTTAAGGAACATCCAGACAAAAGACCTCTCCAAATTTTTGGCCAATTACATACATAGGACATACTTAAGCACAAAGATTGGAGCGTGCGGGACAGCACTCCCTTACTTCAAGGCAGGTTTTGCAGAACATAGTAACTCTTCTTCACAGTAGATGAATCTAAGGGCTGGTCTACACTACGCAGCTTTTAGTGACAAGGATGTGTCAACACAGCCTTGTCGCTAAAAGGTCAGCCGGTGTGAATGCTCTCTGTCAGTATTTTGTCAGCACTTTTGCTGACAAAATACTTCCAGCCCCGCGAGTGGCGTTAGCTTTGTTGGCAGGAGAGCGCGTTCACACTGCCACTTCTTAAAGGCCTATACTTTAAGAATTTAGGTGTATTCTTATCACTTAGCTAGTTATAGAGGTATAAAAGAAAGAATCAAAATCACTGTCTGACGGCGTAAGGGACAGTCTGAGGCTCTGCTCTTAGGCTAAGTAAGGCCTTTGGCTAAGCAGCAGAGGCAGCCATAAGCTGAAAAGTGAACAGTGACATCCTCACATTCCAAACTAGTCACATTGAAATAAGGTGCTATTGGGCTGTTAGGAAAACAATCCTGTCCTGATATTCCTATCACCTCCGGAGACAGGGAAGAGCCTAGAAGATGTAAAAGTTTGATAGCATCCTGTCTGGCAAGAACTCACTTATCAATAGCTGGGATGTAAAATCCTCATTTCTGTATTGTTCCATCACTGTAGTCTCCACTTCCCTGTTGTTTGTCTGTATAATCTCTGTCTGGTTCTGTGATTGTTTCTGTCTGCTGTATAATTAATTTTGTTGGGTGTAAACCAATTAAGGTGGTGGGATATAATTGGTTAAATAACCATGTTACAGTATGTTAGGACTGGTTAGTTAAATTTCAGTAAAATGATTGGTTAAGGTATAGCTAAGCAGAACTCAAGTTTTACTATATAGTCTGCAGTCAATCAGGAAGTAGGAGGGGGGAATGGGAACAAGGAATGGGGGTGGGGAAATTGGAATCATGTTTTGCTAAGGGGGGAATGGGAACAGGGAATGGGAACAGGGACGGCTCTGTGGTGTCAGAGCTGGGAAGGGGCACACGGAGGAAGGAAACTGGAATCATGCTTGCTGGAAGTTCGCCCCAATAAACATCGAATTGTTTGCGCCTTTGGATTTCGGGTATTGTTGTTCTCTGCTCATGCGAGAAGGACCAGGGAAGTGAGAGGGTGAAGGAATAAGCCCCCTAACAAAGTCCATCTCATGAGGTATCCTCTTACCAAGAAATGTTTCCATGTGCAACAATATACATAGTACCAATTCCTTCCAAGTTAGAGCCCCTCCTGTGGTTTATTGTAGCAATACTATGCTTATAACTGAGAAAGCATTCATTTTACGTCCCTGCAGGTAGGATCTCTGGGAAATGCTGATCTGAAGCGTCACTTTGGCATCTGAGTTTGAATCCACTGAAATTAATGGGACAGGTCATATCTCAATGTTATTGTTTCAGGCTCTCTGCAAACTCAGCCCAACATCGCTGCATCATTTACACTCAGGACACATTCTGAAGGTGTTTTCTCCTATCTGATAGCATTTACTTGTTGTGATAGGCCCTAACTTTAAAAAAAAAGTTGTGACTTTTAAGAACAACTAAAAGGCCTGTTGGCAGTTCCATTAACCGCTCTGGCTAGTCCTTCACACTCTACCTCTAGGAAATGCTTACATAAACAAAGAAATAATATCCATCTCTAGTAGAATGCAAGTACTGGAGACCCATCTTCATGTTTATACCTATTAGAATAGACTGTGCAAACGAATGCCCGCACACTCAAATAAAAAGACAGCACATTCAAACAAACACCAGTTCATTAGATTGCCTAGCCAAATGTGTACCCTGCAGGCAAAAGCATAGTCAATTAGATGTTTAACTTTCCCTTCATTTAATAAAAACAATGGGTAATTCAATACAAATGCAGCACATTAATACATAGATATCACTGATTTTTAAAAGCTGCAGTGATTAGTTATATAATACCTTAGACAATAACTATTTACAAAAATCAGCATAGCTCAAAAGCTTGTCTCGATGTCACAGACACTGATCTAAGTAAATATGTTCTAGTGCCATGGTTCTCAACCAGGGCTCAGGGCCCCCTGGGAGGCCGTGAGCAGGTTTCAGGGGGTCCACCAAGCATGGCTGGTGTTAGAGTCGCTAGGGCCCACGGCAGAAAACTGAAGCCCCACCATACAGGACTGCAGCTTGGGGGGCCTGAGCTCTAGCATCTGGGCCAAAGCCTGAGAAAACTTAGCTTTGCGGTGCCCCTTATGGTGTGGACCCCCAGGCAATTGCCCTGCTTCCTACCCCTTAATGCCAGCCATAGCTTTTATATGGAGAAAAACAATTATTGTGGTACAGGTGGGCCACGGAGCCATGTTGGAGGGGCCTCAGAAAGAAAAAGGTTGAGAACCCCTGTTCTAATGGGCTCACAAAGACCTTGTGCTTTATACGACTCTAATATACAGTTTCATATCCATCAGAAAATAGTATCTTTATGTGCCTTTTTTAATCTGCTTCTCAAAAGAGGTGCTACAAAAAGGAAATTGGATTTCCAGATATAAGGTTCTGTATGTGTCTAACTTGTGACATACTTTCTCTCACATTTGGGGAAGGGCAATAGCAAGGTATCATGTTCAGATTTCTGTGAAAGAATGTGCGACACTTTGGGATAAACTCTGCAAAAGTCCATAATCTAAAAGGAAGATACAGTACAGCTCTTTCCACAGAGTGGTCTACTAGTTCATGTAGTAAGATGAGGCCCTGAAACAAACCCTTGTATCAGAGGCCTGAGGCCTGAACTATAGTAATGGTCAAGGCTTTACTAACAAAAAGCACAGCTAAACTGTGAGCCAGAGGCAGGCTCTGTTCACAGAAGCTGGCAAGGAAAGGGGAGATCTTGC